CTAGGCCATCAGCTTTCAGAACCACTTTATCCTCAGTGACAGCCTCTCCTCTGAACATTCCCAGCCAAACTTGGCTATGCTGGCCAAAATGGTTTAGCGTGCTTTTCTGGGGAAGAGTAAAAAGAAAGAGATTAGGAGGAATTGTACAGACACACTCACCTGCACATGTGTGTAAATTTTTTCTGAGTTTAAGGAAAATAACTCAGCACATCTACTTCCCAAGGTAGGACAAGTGCTGCCTGTAATCACGCATTAGAAACACCACTGACCAGTGGCCACAGCATTTCATATATTGAGGTCTTTAATTACAAGTATTTACACTACTATCTTGAAACATTCATTTTATTTATTTATTTATTTGGCAGTACTAGGGTTTGAATTTAGGGCCACACACTTGCTAGGCATGTGCTCTTACCAATTGTGCCACTCCTCCAGCAGTGGAATATTCATTTTTAAGCAAACTTTCAAGAAGCATTGTGGGGAGTGTGAATGAAGATAGAATAGGAAAACGGTGCCATAAGGTGCATTCTCCATACACAGCCCAGCACAGTGTTGGCTTATCCTCTGTCGTGTTAAGAAGACAACTTTCCTGACTGGAGTGGGAGAAGCTTTGGTTGTCTTAGATTGCCTGTGAATTCCTAGGGAGCTTCTAGTCTGCCTTTTCCTCTTGCTTCTGCTTCCCTTTGGTTCTGTGTGCCACCTTGCATTTCAATCCATTTATTGGGATGCCTCATTTGAAGCATTCATCAGATGTCCTTAGGGCGGCTCTTGGCTCCGAGGACTCAATTTTTTGCCCCTTGAGAGACCTCTCTGAGCAACAGGCAGCATCTCTCAGGCTTTCTTTTTGCTTTTGGAACGGTGGTGACTTTTATCTACAAGATTGTTCTCCCACTTAAGGCAGCCTGCCCTGCAGCAAACAGATGTTTCCTTCCAATCTCCCCTCTAGATAAATAAAATCCTCCCAGAGGCTAAGGCTGGTGGGAAAAGTTCTTTTGTGCACCTCTGAAGCATGACTAAGCCATGAGCATCCGCCTTTGATGTATATTTTGTGATTGGGGAAGAAAAGAAAAATCAAAATAGCATTTCTTTCAGCCAAACTGTTCCTTGCAGATGAGAATTTTGTTGACGAAAGCCTTTCTCCAATGTGAGCTTTGCCCTCTGTGATTAAACACAGAGTTACATTGAGATTGATTTTCTTATATTGCTCTTGAATTTTACTCTCTCTGATGTGTTGGGACATAATACTTCATCAGCAAAATGGATCACATAACTGTCTTCCAAGTCTCTATCTTGTTTGGTTTGCTGAGAAACAATTTTCATTCAAGCATAAAGTACTTTGTACAGAGTCAACCTTCCAAAGGTGGAAGTCTACAGGCCTGTTGAAAATGAAATGAGCACACTTATTTTTGGAAGACATTAGTTTTGCCTCAGTACCTTTGATTCCTATTTTTCATAAGATCTAAGATCAATGTACCCTAAGGTAGCAACATTTTTCATAATTGACTGATATATTAGCATCTTTCAGTACCAAATATTAACTTGACTATGAGATCAGTAACCCATAGAATGATTTTGAACAAGAAGTAATTTGACTTTTGAGGACCAGTCAAGCTAATAGCAAAACCCATAGAATGATTTTGAACAAGAAGTATTGGACTTTTGAGACCAGTCAGCTTAATGCAAACTTTTGAGAACAATGACACAGTGAGGAGGCAGTCTGATTATAGCCACTCACCTTCAAAGTGGGCTTATATATATTTCAGAGTTTCCCTGTCAAGAGAGAAAAGGCCTCAGGAATGTTATTGTTGGTAAGAGAAAAACAAAAACTTCATCCCTAGAGACACACATCTATTCCTCAAGTCTTTGGAAAACAATGAGGACTCAAATGACTTTCACTTTCTCTTCCTTACTCACTCTCTCTTTCTGCCCTCCTTTGCAAATCTAGATGAAACTGTTGATTACTGACTATTGATTACAAAAGGTACTACCCTGTATTCAATAAATTAAGCTTTAATTCCTGAGTCCAATGAAATAATTGACCTCAAAAAAAATAGATTCAATCCACTTTCCAGTCTCATTATATTAGTATTTTTCAATTCAATGATTTTACCATTCTTTTCTATCTTCTTTCACAATTACAACATCTTTCATCTACTCCGGGATCAGCATGGCCAAGCCGTCTTCATTCTTGGTTTCAAGATGGAAAAGGTTTTACTTATTATTATATTTTTTTTTTTTACTTTGCTGTTGATAGTAATGATTTAACAACCTTTCCATTTTAGGAAAAACTAGGTAAGGTATATTTATAAAAAGATTTTTATTATGTCCTTGATATCACAAAGCCACGAATAGCTTCGGGACGGACATTCATAATTACCTGCTTCAGCATTCATTTACTTGATGCTGAAAGATGGGGAGTTGCTTTTCATTTTGCTTATTCATTCATTCATTCATTTATTTGGTGATATAGAGTTTGAACTTAGGGCCTCACACTTGCTATGTAGGGTAGGCAGATGCTCTCTCACTTGACCACTCCTCTAGTCCTTTTTGCTTTAGTTAGTTTTCAGACAGGATCTTGCACTTTTTGTACAGGTCTGGCCTCAGACCACAATGCTTCTGCCTCTACAATGCCACTACCTCTGCCTCCCATGTAGCTGGGATTACAGGCAGGCACTACCATACCCAACTTGTTTGGAGTCTCCCTAGCTTTTTTCCCAGACGACCTTGAACCATGATTTTCCTGGTATCCACCTCCTGAGCAGGTAAAACTGTATTTGTGTACATGATATCATGGTAACATGGCTACCTTAATTATTGTTTTAATTGTACAAATTTATGGAGTAAGTTGTGATAATTTGATACATGTCCATAGTGTATAATGATGAAGTCAAAGCAATTAACATTTCCCTTGCCTTAAACATTTAAACATTTTGACAATTTTTGATACATATATCCAATATGTACTGATTAAATCAGTGTTATCAATACTTCTACCCCTTTAATAATATGTAACCTGATTTTATATTTGAGAAAATAAAAGTAAGAAATACTTTGCGGCTTGCCAGAAGCAGTTGTTCCTACCTATAATCCTAGCTATACAAGAAGCTAAGATGCAGAAGATCATGGTTTTAGATCAGTCCACAAAAAGTTCACAAGACCCCATCACAACCAATAAAAGCTGTGCATGGTGGTACTTGCCTGTCACCAGCTGGACTGGGAGGATAACTGTGAAGACCCCCTTGGAAATGTAACTAAAGCAAAAGGACTGGGAGGTGTGGCTTAAGTGGTAGTGTACTCTGGGCAACACCTTAAGTTCAAACCCCAATTCCACCCCCCCAAAAAAGAATTGTGGCCTGAACAAATGGACACAGGGTTTATTAGCCATGACTCTTAGATAATCCCTAAACTTTTGCTGCCTCTGTAGCAAACAGAATATAGATACTTAAGACAAACGAGATACATATTTTTTTTTATGAGATATGTATATTTTTTGCACGAAGAAAAATAAGGGAACATTAAGCTTTGTTGATTTGGTCTTATTTAAAAACAAATAAAAGATAGTTATACTTAATACAGACACTACTTAATTACCAAAACAATGGCTCAATTCTTTATGAATCGTAGAAGTGGCAATAGCAAGTGCTTCTTCAGCCACCTTCTGAGAGAACACAAAGTAACTCCCATGGACTCCATTGAGACAGAGTCCTCACTTGTCTCCTTCTTGCGTCTTCAGTAGGAACCTCGTCCCCCCACCCCTCAGGCTCCAGAAAGAAGCCCTTTTATGAAGTTTTTACTTGGAGTCTTTTAAGTGTCCTGGACTTGATTTGTTCTTGCATTTGTAAGGGAGGGCATAGGTTCAGGGAATAAACAGAAGCTTTAAAGGGGTGAAGCAGTATCACTCTGTTCTTGGAAACTTGAATTTATAAACTCAGCAACATTATCTTCTCTTAGCTTTTACCTCACCCAACCTACAGTCTCTAAAAGGAATAAAACTTGGACTTGCTCTAACCAGGCTCATATATGCAATGAGAAGTGTTCAATGACTTCCACCCTAATGTGTGCTGGGTACTCAGAGGGTGTCTTTAGAGAACCTGAGGCAGCAACATCCAGTGGGAGAGCCTTAGGCCAAGAGTACCCAATGGGAGAGTTTGAGGCTACAGAACCCAATGTCTTTAATTCCTGCCTTACTTGTTGATCCTCTCAGTGATCTCAGTAACACCCAAGAGGCAGGGTAGAAAAATTCCTTTGTTGATGCATAATTTTTTATTTAGTGCCTCTTAACCAGAAAGCCCAATATTTTGTTCAAGTGCTATAAAATGATAGTTTATATTTATTATGAGAATCCAAGATACTTCATGGCTTTCTGATTCATTATGGGCACTTTAGTTATGTTCATTATAGCTTTAGCATTAAATGAATTTAATTGAATCATGAGTTTCTGAACACAGTTAATTGATTGCTATATATAGGAACTAGAAAGAGTCCAAAATAATTGCATTAATTCGAGCATCCCACTTAAAGACTATTCCAAATAAAAGCAATTTAATTGAATTTAGTATTACAAGAAATTTGTAAATAAGCTAGAATAAATGTGTTTATCAGAATGCATTTGCTATTATGTTAATGATGATATTTTGTACATTATGTTTGAAGCTTACTTTGATTTGTGTTTATATCAGACCACAGGATTTCCTAAAATTTAATAATACATGAAAAATAATTGAGCTATTTTGGAGGAATATGAAGTGGTAAACTCCTAATGGTAATGGGTGTTCTTTCAAACGGAAATCATGGAGTCTTCTGGATCCTTTGCCTCACAAAAGATCACAGATATTGATCAGATCTCACTTAAAATAGCATTTTCACCAGTCTGTTAGTTCCTTAATCAGAATATATGCTTTTTCTTTGAAATTGCCCATTAGGAGTGTTTTAAGGTAAAGAAAACTCTTGGGCTTTCTAGCTCTTATTAACCTACGACTACTTTCTTGTTTTGTCTCCAGAGTTTTTCCGGGAGCTTCTGGAGAATGCAGAGAAGTCTCTAAATGACATGTTCGTCCGGACGTACGGGATGCTGTACATGCAGAATTCGGAGGTGTTCCAGGACCTCTTCACAGAGCTGAAGCGATACTACACCGGGGGCAACGTGAACCTGGAGGAGATGCTCAATGACTTCTGGGCGCGGCTCCTGGAGCGGATGTTCCAGCTGATCAACCCTCAGTACCACTTCAGCGAGGACTACCTGGAGTGCGTGAGCAAATACACCGACCAGCTGAAGCCCTTTGGGGACGTGCCCAGGAAACTGAAGATTCAGGTGACACGCGCCTTCATTGCCGCCCGCACCTTCGTCCAGGGACTGACCGTGGGCAGAGAAGTTGCGAACCGAGTTTCCAAGGTAAGTGCACATGTGCAGTTTTTCTAATCTGTCATCTTCTTTTTATTCTCATTTAAAACAATATTTTGTAAAGGTAAAAATTCTTATTTTCAATAGCCCTTGCTCTAAGATAAATCAACTGAATGTCCATGCTTAATTCTGTTTTTTTTTTTTTTTTCCTTGCTTTGTGTAATTCCATGCGGTCTGGAAAACAATGTCAGTATTCATCAGAAATATAGCAGGGTAATTATCTTTTGGTTTTTTTTAACTTCCTTTATTCATATGTGCATACAATGATTGGGTCATTTCTCCCCCCCCCCACTTCCCTTTCACCCACTTCCTCCCTTTCCCCCCACCCCCTGGCTTCCAGGCAGAAACTGTTTTGCCCTTATCTCTAATTTTGTTGAGGAGAGAGTACAAACATCAATAAGGAGGACCAGGGGTTTTTGCTAGTTGAGGTCAGGATAGGTATACAAGGAGATTCCTAGTATTGCTTCCATGTACATATGTGTTACTTTCTAAATTGATTCTTCTCGAACTAACCTTTTCTCTAGTTCCTAGTCCCCTTCTTAGCAGAGTAATTATCATTAGGAGTGGTGTGAAAACAGGTGACTTGCAACTAGGATCACTTGACATTTTTGATCAAAATTTAAGGATGATAAATACCCATGGAATTGTCCATTCAGGGGTTCTAGTCCTCTGGGGAGTCAAGGTGACAATCTTCATTGGTTCTGTGAGTGGAGACAAGTTGTTGAGGACAGCAGCACCTGCTATTTCTTTTTTATCACGTGTCAATGTGGCTGAGTTCTTTAATCAGGAAAGAAAAGCCCTCAGCTGACACTGTAGAACTGAATTAAGGAGGACTAATGGATACAAAGTACATATTGTAGCAGATGATTCCTTGGGTTACCCATTATCTTTGTAATTCCATGTCCAGTATTGGGCTGGATTTATGAAAAAGATAAATCATTGATCGACTTTGGAGCCTCCCCTTGAGAATAATGTCTTTAAACCTTTAATGCAAGGGAGCGTTCACTTTTCAACCTTGAACCTTTCCTGTGTAGAGGATATCTGCCTTTGTTTAAGTTCTGCCTTGACATTTAACTGCTCTTAGGAGATGGGCCTGCTCATTTATGAGGTCAGTCCTACAAATAAACTAAAAGGTGATTCCTATAAGAAGTGAAGTAGAAACAATAAATAAAAGGAATCTGGTATTGTGTCACCTAAAGAAGGTCATATTTGTACAAAGACTTTTGCCAAATAGTATTTCGTTATTGCAAGGCTGTGCCAAAGAGCCACAGTGTTTTTCATAACTATTGATACTACCCTGTTATTTTTTTCCCACATTGAGCTCAACATTTACATCTTGGCAGAAAGACCTTGTAGTGTACACACCCTTAAAAATGTTCCTCTGTGACATGATTTGTAAAATTTATAGCAATCCATCTTTAAAGTATCAGTTCCTAAAAAGTGTAAGTATATGAGATGGCTATTTGCAAAAGGATATTAAAGGGATAATTATAAGGAATTTAACTATATAAAATAATGCTGATTATATATATATATAACGCTGATGTTTAATATATTTTTATTGGATACAAACAATGTTTTACATCCAAAGGAACTAGATCCTTAAAAGTGGATTAATAAGGAAGTAGCCAGGTAGAATAGCAGGGGAAATATGACCACCTGAGTTTGGTCTCTAAAATACAAATAAGTACTAAAAATTAAATATATTCTGTATTTTCCTGAGCAGATATATTTTGTGATGAGAAATAAATTTAATTAAGATAATTTAATAAGTTAAACTAAAATTTAGTCACTGAGGCTTCAATTTGAAGTTGATACTCTTGTCAAAGAATGAAACACGAAGCTAGGTTTTGAGAACTATGAGGTAAGAAATTCAAAACATGGATTGACATACACAACATTCTTACTGGTTGTGTTTACTCTGTCTGTGTGTGAATAATATTTAGATGCAGTAAGCTAGATATATTTTCTAGCAAAATGTCGGGAAAGCCACAGGGGGAGTTACTGCTGACTGTTTCTCAGAAGACGCCATTAACCACTGCCCAGAGATGGTCTCCCCTTGGTCTTTCCCGGACTGTCTTATTCTGAGCTCTTTGTTTACCAAATCCTAACACGCTCCTCTTCATGGTGAAGGTTAACATCATGGACCAAACATCAGTAGAATATTACCTCTAATTTTTTCTAGAAGTGATGAAGAAGGTAGGAAGGAAAGAAGAAAGGAGGGAAGGAAGGAAGGAGGGAGAAGGGTGTCAAATTATATGAAGATGAACATTTTGTTCTTAAATAATGTATGAGAATAGGATTTCAGTATTTTAACAAAAAAATGTTCCTATCTAATTATTACCAGATAGTCTATAGCTGAGCAAGCTAGAAGTGGCTCTACTAGCACTATGTTAATTTTCAGCTCCCTAACTACTTTTTTGCAATAAGCATAAAATATTGTAAGGTCAAATATATTAAGAGAAGAAAGAATTGTGTTTGAGGTCTAAGCCCTTCACAAATCTGAGCCTGTTTGTGCTCTATTAATTAAGTGATTTAGAGTTAGTGAAACAATAGTAGAAGAGTTAAAGAATTCAAGGAAAAAATCCCAATTAGACATCAGCAAACTAGTTCAGCTCTTTCATCATGTTTTGGGGATTTTGTTCCCTTCAGTTTCTGTCTTCATTTACAGTGACTACTTAAATCTCTGAAGTCATCATTAATCACTTCTAATTAATTGTTTTGACTGGAAAATGTACCTCTTTGGCAAAACACAGCAGTTTAATACAAATGTTTTGACATAACATAATAGGGAAATTCCTTATCAGAAAAATGGAAGACTAATTTGTAAGCCTCAACAGAAATATTTTTTAATCTTTTACTTGCCATTTTATGGATACAAGGTATGTCTTTTTCTAGACTTTGAAGGAGCAAATTCACTTTAAGTGATGGAGCTCGGACTCTGAATCATGAGTACCATATGATTCTGGAGTGATTTTCTGTGTGAATTACCATTTTTGAGCAGGCCAAGTGTTGACAAGATGTGAAATATCAGGAACTTTCATGCTTAGCCTGTGGAAGTGTAAATTGATGTGCTTACTTTAGGCATTGACTTGAATATGACTGTATGTTTGCACCTGTGTACATCCTGAAACTGTAGTTCCTCCCCTGCAGAGACTGGTACACATATGTGCAATAGACATGAAGAGGAATGTTCATAGCAGCACTGTCTGCATGAACATAAAAAGTGTAGAACCATCACAAATGTCCCATCTGCATAAATGGTGATCTCTTCATACCATGAAATCCCATGAAGCATAAAAAATAAATGAATGGCAGCCTCTCAATGATGAATTACAGAAATCTCATTTTGTCACCAAAGATGACATATCATTTAAATAAGGTTCAAAAAATGCAAAAGTAAGCAATATGTTATTTAGGAGCAAAATATGTAGTAAAATTCTGATGAAAATTCAGAGAATGCTAAACACAAACTTTAGTTCATAATTACTTAGGGTTTGAGGTTTGAATGTGCAGTCAAGGAGGAATACACAGAGGTTTCTAGAGTTATTGCTACCATACTAGCATACTATTATTCTTTTTTTTGGAGGTTCTGGATTTGAACTCAGGGCCTCATGCTTGCTAGGTAGGTGCTCTACTGCTTGAGCCACTCCTCCAGCCCAGCAAACTATTATTCTGAAAGCAGGTGCTTGTGGGGGAGGGGAGCTGTGTACACATATACAGGTGGGTAAGTTTTTTTTTTAATAAAAGTAATTCAGATGAGGAAAGTCTTTACCATGCCTACCTATGATTCTTATCACTTTTGTAACTGTGATCAAGCTTCTGAGATACCCTTAGTTGTTTGCAAGACTCACTGGTATTTTTGACCTTGCTGGCCAAAACAATTTTTGATAGTGTAGTAACCTTGGAATAATGCATATAAACTTTTAAAATACTTGCCCCTTTATTAAAACACCATTCTCACTCATTTGTGAGTAGAAATCTGATTGTCATTTTCAGACATGTGAAGAACAGAGAGAGGGCTTCATAAAGAGATTTTTAATCTCTGAAATTTGTTAAACCAAGTTTCAATCACTAGTCATGGAGACAAATGTGGAAATTTCTCTAGTGTCTTTACAGGTCCATCATGATGCTATTTACATGAAGAAGACATGACCTTCATATATTTTTGCTTTAATAAAAGTGACTTCTAGCAGTCAGAGCTGAAATTGTGTCAAGAGCAATCACATCAACTACGAAGGTCATTTCATTGATTTATTCCAGACAAATTGGGTAGGTAGGAGAGCTGTAATCCATAGAATTTGAACTATTGACAAATACTATCGTCTTATCTATCTATCTATCTGTCTACAGTCTTTCTTCCTTGTAGATCATGACTTTCAAAGGAAATTCTGGCTTTTAGTCTTTAAAAAACCAGATATTTTCATCAACAGACATCTGCCTGTGTCTGTATCCATGCTTGTGGTTTTATATGTCTGAGTAAACAACTCCATTCTCTGATCACAATGGAAAAGAAGAATTTACTGTGGATTCAATTTATATGAGAAATGACATTTTATTTAGTTATGTACATTTTGAAAAGAATTTAAGATATACAATAAGGGTACTTATGGTAGCTATCACCTGAATTATTTGTTTTCTTCTTTCTGTGGCAGTTTTTTGATTGGAGTTAATTTTATTTGAGTGATCCAGAAATGAAAAGGACCACAGAAAACCACAGAAAAGCCTTAGGTGAATGAAACCTTTTTATAGTTCTTCTGTGGTTAGTGTATTCTCTTTTTAAATTGATGATTACTCCATCTAGATTACTTCAATATTATGTAGTGTTAGGAAGAATAGGTAAGCTTTTTGAAATTGCCAATAATGCTTTTATGTTTATAACTTTTAAGTCAACATAAATAATTTATGTTTGCTGTTTTATGATGGTGGTGTGGATATTATATTATATTTGGAAAGTGCTTTGCAGTTGATTAATAAATAATTTCATGATA